ATGAGCTTGGTTTCAGGTTGCATCCATTTACCTATAGGAGTCTCCATTTATCCTTCTTTATGGCTGAGTAGTACTCCATTGTATAAAAACACCATATCTTTTTTATGTATTCCTCAGTTGATGGGTGTTTACTTTGTTTCCAAGATCTGGATATTACAGATTGTGCTGCTATAAATATAGGTGCACATGTATCACTGTTGTAGTCAGGGGCTGCAAGGAGGACAATTACATACAGGACACAGAAATTATAATAATATTATTTTATGATGGTCACCCAGAGTCAAATACAAGGAAGTGCAGGAAATCTGTCCACAACACTAAAGATCTCGAAAATCCAGCCAAGGGCCTGGATGCCACAGCAATAGTTGGCATGAGTCCATCTGAAGACCTAGAACCCATGACAATGACTCATGCAAGTCCATTTCATGGGTCTGTGTTGGGAAGGCCCAAAGATCAGCAATGGAAGCTGGAAAGTCTGTGCCAGTGGGTGAAGGATCTGTGCCAGCAGACTGAGAGTTCTTCACTAGAGTAAGGAAGCGATGTTCAAAATAAGGACTAGAGCTCCCCCCAAAAGTACCACAGCCATCCTCAGCAACAGTCAAAGTCCTGAGCCCCCCTGATGATGAGAACAGCTGAGTGCATATCAGGAAATCAGCATTACAAGCATCTCCTGGAGATTGAACAGTACACATCTTCCCCTTTGGAGCCAGGAAGTGATGTTCAAAGTAAGGACCAAAGCTCTCCCGAAGCAAACCACAGCCATTCTCAGTGACAAGGTCCTGAGCGCCTGTAATGATAACAGCTGAGTTCATATCAGGAGAGCCAGCATGACAAGCTTCTCCAGGAGAACCAATGGTTCCAAACAGCAACAACACTTAGGGAAACCCACTCTCCGTGTCTCCTTTTCATGCTGGCAACAGTCTCAGGTGGGCCATCCACGCTCGGTACCATGCTGATTCAGTTCAGCTAGTGTTTAAGTTCACCATCGGTTACCAGTCCACTACAAGTATGATACTTTTATTCTTTTAGGAAGATACCCAGAAGGGGAATAGCTGGGTTACATGGGACTGCTAGTCCTAGTTTTCTGAGGAATCGCCACTCTGATATCCACAGTGGTTGCCCCAGTCTGCATTCCTACAAACAGCAAAGAAGGGTTCCTTTTTCCCACCAGTCCCCCATCCAGCATTTGTTACTGCTTGATTTCTTGATAATAGCCGTTCTTCCTGGGGTGAGGTAGAGTCTCAGTGTTGTTTTTATTTGCATCTCTTGAATGGCCAGTGATGTTGAACATCTTTTAACATAGTTTTTTGCTGTTCATATTTCTTCATCTGAGAAGTGTGTATTTACTTCAGATGTCCATTTTTTTGGGTTGGAGGACTGATTTCTTTGAGTTTTTTATATGTTCTGTAATCTTTTCTCTGAGGAACAGTTGGAAAACATTTACTCCCAAGTTGTGGATTGTCTCTTCTCTCTATTGGTGGTTTCTCTTGCTGTGCAAAAGCTTTTCAATAGGGTGAGATCCCAGTTGTTGATTCTTTGTGATAGTTCCTGTGTAATCAGAGTTTTGTTTATAAAGTCTTTGCTTACACCAATGTCTTCAAGAGTTTTACCTACTCAATCTTCCAGAAAATTTAATGTTTCTGTTTTAGTACTAAGGTCTTCAATCCATTCTGATTTTAGCTTAGTATATGGTGAAGATATGGGTCCAGTTTTAATCTTTGGCATGTTTCTCTTGTCTAATTGGTCAGCTAAAGTTTCCAGGACTATGCTGAATAAGAGTGGAGACAGTAGGCATCCTTATCAGATCCTGACCTAGATCCCTGATCTCCCAAACAAGTGTACGACAGAGGTTTAACTAAATTGAGACAAGTTATATGATTTTAGGGCTCCAGGAAGGTCAAAACCCTTTAGTTGAGCTCAATACTCTGAAGGCTAAGACCAAGACTTCTCTGGATCAGTCCACTTTTATTAGGATCAAGGACAAAAGGTGGGGAGACTGAGGAAAGCATGGGAAATGAGCAGGACCTTGGGAGTCACTTCAAAGACTTCTCCAAGTAGTAGATTATGCCAATTTAGGAGAACCATCTTATCTCCAAGATGACATTTATGGTAGGAGTGTGATTGCAGGAGTGAAATTCCTTCAGCTGCAGTCTCAATTTATTTAATTAGTGTTGGAGCCAAGGTGTCTTCATCTGTGGCCTTATCACGCCCTTTGAGGTATCTCTGGCCTCACAGGCCAGTGATTCATAGAGATTCACTTACTATGAGTCAGCTCCCGTTGCCAGGCAAGGGACCAAGACTCACAGATAAACATAAAGCCAATTAGTTAATTTTAAATCCTGTTCAGAGCCGCTGCGTAGTGGTCTCCAACACATCCTTGTCTTGTTCCTGGTTTTAGCGAGAAAGCTTTCAGTTTTTATCCATTTAGTATGATATTGGCTGTTGGTTTGTCATAGATTAGTTTTATCAGATTGAGAAAAAGACCATCTATTCCAATTTTATGTATGTTTTTATCATGAAGTGGTACTAGACTTTGTCAAAAGTTTTTACTGCATGTATTGAATGATCATATGATTTTTGTCCTTGGCTCTGTTAATATGGTGTATTACATTTATGGATTTATGTTGAACCATCCCTGCATCCCTGGGCTGAATCCCACTTGATCATGGTGTATAATCTTCTTGATGGTTTGCTGCAGTCTCTTTGCCAGTATTTTATTGAGGATTTTTGCATCAAGGTTCATGAGGGAAATTGGTCTGTAATTTGCTTTCTTAGTTGGGTTCTTCTCTGGTTTTGGTAGCAGGGTAATGCTTACTTCCAGGAATAAATTTGAGAGGATTGCTTCCCTTTCAATTTTATTAAAGAGTTTAAGAAGTAGTGGTGTTAGGTCCTCTCTAAACTTGTAGAATTCAGTAGTGAATCCATCAGGGCCAGGGCTTTTCTTTGTTGGTAGGTTTGTTTGTTTGTTTTGTCTTGCTTTGTTTTTGGTACTACAGATCAAACTCATGACCTCACACTTGCCAGGCAAGTGCTTATGCAACTGAGCTAAATCCCTGGCCCTATTCATATGTTTTTTTTTCTTTTTTCTTATTCATAGGTTTTTAATTACATCTTCAATGTCATTGATTGATACTGGTTTATTTGCATTTTTATATCTTCTTGATTCAGCTTTGGTAATTCATATATATTTAGGAATCTGTCCATTTCTTCTGTACTTTCCATCTTATTGAAATACAAGTTTTCAAAATAGGTAGAGATGATCTTCTGGATTTCTGCAGGGTCTGTTGTAATTTCACCCGTTTTATTCCTAATTGTGTGAGTTTCAGTCTTTTCTTTTCTCATAAGGTTAGCTAAGGGTTTGTCAATTTTATTTAATCTTTCAAAGAACCAGCTCTTCGATTCATTGATTCTTTGTGTGTTTTTTTTTAGTCTCCAGTGTGTCAATTTTTGCTCTGATCTTTATAATTTCCTCCCTTGTACGAGTTTTTGGCTTAGCCTGCTCTTCTTTTTCCAGAAGTTTGAGGCTCACTATTCAGTTGTTTTTATGTGTTTGCTCTGTTTTCCTCATATGCATATTACTGCTGTAAATTTCCATCTTAAAACTGCTTTTATTATGTCCCACAAGTTCTGGCATGCTGTGTTGTCACTGTTACTCAGCTGTATAATCTGCCTAATTTCTTCTTTAATTTCATCTGTGACCCATTTGTTTCCAGTGAGGTGCTATTTAATTTCCATGTACTTATGAAGTTGTTGTGCTTTCTTTTGTCAAGGATTTCCAATTTCATTACACTGTGGTCTGATAGTATGCATGGGATAACTTCAATTCCTTTGCATTTACTTAAGCATGTTTTATGAGTTAGTATGTGATCTATTTTGGAGAATGTCACATGTGCAGCTGAGAAGAATGTGTATTCTGATGTGGAGTGGAACACTATATACATCTACTAAGTCCATTTGTTCAAAAGTTTGATGTAGTTCTAATATTTCATTATTGATTTTTGTCTAGTTGATATGTCTTTTTGTGACAATGGGGTATTAAGATCTCCCAATACAATTGTATTAGGGCTTATTTTATTTTTCATGTCCAATAGTAATTGTTTTGTATAGCTGGGTGAACTGGTATTTACTTCATATATACTTATGATTGTTATCTCTTCCTTTTGGATTGCTCCCTTTACAAGCATGTAGTGATCTTCTTTATCTCTTTTAATCAATCTTGGCTTGAAATTCACTTTGTCTGTAAATAAAATAGCTGCCCCTGCTTTTTTCTGGGTTCCTGTCACATGGAGTATTTTTTCTGTCTTTTGACTTTCAGTCTATGAATTTCTTTTAGAATTAAATGTGTTTCTTGTATGCAGCATATCATTGGATCTTGCCTCTTTTTTAATTTTAATTTTTATTTTAAAGGGGGTAAAACTAGACACAACAAAACAGAACACAATAGGACATAAGAAAGCAATGTAAGAGATATAAATTTCAAAGCTAGATGACCTGAGATCTTCATGGTCTATCATATTGTCTCTTGTTTTCTTCCAAATAGTTGTCCATGTCTTCACATACACAGAATTCATACAAAAAAACATAGTATAAAAGTGATCTGAATAGAATGAGGAAGGCGTTTTAGGTCTTCAAAACCAGACAATAGGGAAGTCACTAATGGCTGCATAGAGTCTCTCATTCTTTTCAAAATAGCTGTACATACTTTCATGTATACTGAAGTTCAACAAAACAAAACAGGCGGGGGGGGGGTTTGCTTGATTTCCCATTGCTCCAGGTCCCAGCATGGTAAGGGTCCTAGTAAATGCTAGAGGCTCCCATCCTGGGCCACTGGAGCCTGCCACACTCACAGTTGCTCACTAGGGAGGAGGGGTTGCTTGGTTTTTTTGTCGCTCCAGGTCCTAGTATGGCTCGGGTCCCACTAAAAGCTGGAGGCTCCCATCCTGGGATGCCAGAGCCTGCCATGCTCACAGCTGCTCACTTGGGGTGAGGGGATTGCTTCAAGCTGTTTCTTTCTAATGAATTGACCATTTATTGCTCAAGTTCTGAAATGGCCAACAGACCATAGAAAGACATCTCTTTAGGCTCCTATTTGAAAACAACATGTCAGGAAGCTGCCAGCCTCAATTCAGGGCCAGGGATCTTGCCTCTTGATCTATTCTGCCAGTCTTGACTGGTGAATTGAGATCGTTAACATTGGTGGTTATAACTGAAATGTATTAACTTATCCTTCTGATGTTATTTTCCTGCTATTGGCTCCCCCTTTTTTCCTCTCCTTCTAATTGTTTGCTTTCCCTGGTAGATTCCTCCTTTTGTGGTTCATGGAGCTGTAGTACTTATTATCTTTTTCTAGAATGTCCCTCAGAACATTTTGGAGTGCTGGTTTGGTGGTCATAAATTTTCTCAGATGTTCTTTGTCATGGAAGTATCTTATTTCTCCATCAATTTTGAAAGATAGTTTTTGTGGGGTACATCAATCTGGTTTGAAAGTTGTTTTCCTTTAGACCTTGGAGTACTTCACTCCAAGCTATCATTCACTTGGGGGTCTGTGCTGAGAAGTCAGTTGTGATTTATAGGTGATTCACTTCTTTTCTCTAACAGCTTTTAGTATTCTATTCTTGTGTTGAATTTCTGAAATCTTGACTATGATATGCCTGGCAATAGGTTTTTTTTTTTTTATTATTGCTAATTGGAGTTTTTTATACTTCATTTCTCTGTATGTCAAATTCTTTTTCTCTACCAGGAAAGTTTTCTGCCATGATGTCTGTGAATATTTTCAAATGTCATTTTCTTTGACTCCAATGAATCTTAATTTAGTCTTCTTTGTCTCATCTAGCAGCTGCTGGATTGATTTCTCATGGTCCCTCACTAGTTCTGAGAAATCTTTTCTTTTCCTGATCACTAACTGCAAGCCTGTCTTTAGTATCTGAGATCCAGTTCTCACATTGGCCTAATCTGTTTGAATATTTTCAGTGGAGTTTTTATTCTCCTAGATATCTGTTTGAATCTGCTTTATGGATTCCATTTCTTTCCTATTTTCCGTAAATCATTGTTTTCTAATTCTTTGAAAGAGGGTAAAAGGGGCTGGGGATTTAGCTCAGCAGCATAAGCACCTGTCTTGCAAGCAGGCGGTCATGAGTTCAATCCCTGGTACCGATCAGAAAAAAAAAAAAAAAAAGAGGGTAAATACCAGAAAGTGAGATGGAAGTGGCTGGAGCACTTCTGAGCCTGCAGAGGAGATCAACACTAGAGATAGAACCAGTAGTTGACTTTAGGAATTCTGCCCTGGGCCCTAGGCAAAGAAGTCTCCAGACACATCTGTTATCTATCTAATTACATGAGAAACCTTTCACAGCAGCAAGACATGGTGGTGCCTTTTAAAGTCCATTTTAAAATCTTTATATCTCTGAAGTTCACAGATTAAACTTACATCCACCTAGCAATCACTGTTCACTGTCAGTAAATGCACTTTTGCTGGTCATCTGTGTACACACAGAAGAAAAAAGCTAAAGTTTCTTTCTTACTCTTTGTTAGCATATGCAGGGCACAAATATAAATCATTCCCCTTATTGCCATTCTCCTTCATAAAAGATGAACAGTTGTTGCAAGCTGCCTCAGCCTGATTTCTGGAGGGTGGATGGTTTAATGACAAGGTGGTTCTCAAGTTAACTCCCAACAAGTTGGAGAAAACTTGGAGTTTCTAAATGACTAGCAAAGAGGAAAAAGTACAATACGTAAGTGAAGATTTTTCTGCTGGTTTCCCAGGTTGGGCTGTTGGAACTCAGCTTCCACTGAGGAGCCTCCAGTGTTTCCAGAGAACAGCCTTGTCCATGTCACTTCAGTTGCTCCCTCAGTCTGCTGGTCCACACAAGCAGAGATCTGTCTCTTGAAAGGAACCCAGCTACTTATCTGGTCAACGTTCCATTGGTCATTGGCTTCAAAGGGATTCACCAGAAGGTGCTAGGGAAAGCTCTCCTGTGTACTGAGCAGCAGCTGCTCTTAAGCGTTTGACTAGTTGGCAGAGTGACCACTGTTCTACAAGGGACAGACAAAAGTTTAAGCAAAAATCATCATATAGCATTTTGTAAGTTTCTAGTAAAAGTTTCAGAACCCACAACTTGTAATCAAAGTGTTTCCCTCTCCAGTACAAGTAAATTATAAGATCCAGATCTAGGAAGGGAGAGAGAAGGTTGGAGATTCTCCTGTAGGCTAAATGTGTTTCAGTCCCTTAAGCAAGTGCTTTGAGAAATAGCTCCTTCTGGTTAACACTGAAGTCAGTTCTTCCCATGGAATCTCAGGTGCAGTCTCCCGAGGAAGACTGCTGCCCAGAATACTAAGCCAAGGCATGGATTTTTTAAAAATAGGGTCTCACTACATAGTTCAGTTTGGCCTTGAGCTCACAGGGATCCTCTAGCCTCAGCCTCTTGGGTAACGGGATTATAAGGCATGCAGCACACCTGGCAGGACATGGCTTTTATGTGTGTTCTCCTGAACTGGCAAAATTCTGATGCCTTATCTGACCCTCATCTGCGATGGCATCTCTGTCTTTGGTGTTAGCAAACACTCATTTTCTGTGGGCTTAGCTTAATTGTTGACTAGGAAGAAAAGGTTGCAGCAGTTACAGTTTATCTATCTTTAACCTTATGAGCCTCCAAAAAGTAAAGTACAAAGTGATAGAAAAAGATCAGATAAGACCGTCTTCTCATCTGCAGATCAGACCAGAAAAAAAACTGAGGCAAAATAGGCTTTATATTTTCTCTAGAGTGGATCAGGCCAGTTTGTCCCAGTGAAACCCTTCCCCAAGTCTTTTTTTTTTTTTTTAATTTTTATTTAAGGAGAAAAGAAAAGAAAGAAAAAAAAAACAGTGAAGGGGTACAAGTTATACAGATTTACAGAATAAAAAAATGCGCAGTAGGAAATCACTAGTTAATGGATTACATATTGCCATCTTAGAAATAATTGTTTAAGTCACAAAATTAAAGCTTGTAGAGTGGACATTCCAACAATGATACTGCAAACAGTTCTGTTCAATGATCCAATAAAACTCTGTGATATCATTTTCTATCTTATACATTTAAATATACATGCAGTTATATAGTTTAGAGCACTTTCTTTTCCTCTCTTTTGTACAGTGACTATTACACATTTTGGGTTTCATTGTTCCCACGGTTCTTGTTGCTTTTTTGGAAGAGAGTAAAACCAAATGTGACATAACAGAACAGAATCGGTCAAGTCAAAAGGGTGGACATAATAGATAATATAAAAACATAATACAAGGTGATAAACAATGGTTACCATAATGCCTCCCGCTATTTCTAATAGAATTGCCTATATCATTAGTTGTAATACAATTGAACAAAACCGTAAAGAATAAAACCGACAAAACCAAAACATTGGAGATATTGTAGGTCTTCAAAAGTAGATAAAAGTCAACGAGAATGGGCGTTATAATGAATCTCATTATCTTCTCAGCTGATGCCTAAACTTTCGAACCTGATACTATCCAGCAAAACAGAATATAGGAACCTCAGTCAAAAACAAGATGGTGAGAGTAATACAGGGCTTCAATTCGAGATAATAGAAAGTCAAAGTGGGTTACTATATTATATCCTGCTATTTTTTCCCTTTAATTAAATGGATAAAAATAAAAAAGTAAATAATGGAGTGGAGATTGAGAAAAAGGAGGGCATAACAGCGAAACAGGGCAGATCAAAACATAACCATTTAAGCAGAATAGTGTTTCACCACCAGCTAATCCTGACCCAAAAATAGTTACCATATTGACTCCCTCCCTGAAGTCCTTGAGTACAACTTCATATACTGTAGCATTAAGTATATCAAAACAATGTAAATCCATTTAAGAGAATGACAGCATTACAGAGTATTTAGAATCGACTAACAGAAAATGAACAATGGTCTCTGTATAATCTCCTTGTCTTTAAAAGGTTTTTTCCTTATACTATCGTACATAACAAAATCCAATAAGATACAACCTGTTTAGACCATTGGAGACAGAAGAACAAAAGCTAGATGAGACTTCAAAACAAGATGGTACTAAATCAGCATTACCTATTAAGATGTCATTTTCTCCAAAAAAAGCTGTTCCTATCATCCAATCTTCTGTCTCATTTCTGTTGAGCTCTTTTTCTGTCAGTAGCTGTCAGTTTGTCTTCTTCATTTTGTTCTCTGCTCCATTCGTTGTGGCCTCCCCGCCCCTATTTCTGGGTTCTTTGTATTTTTCTTTTTTTAGAATATCCTGCAATACTTTCTGTAGGGTTGAATTGGTGGTTGCAAATTCCCCCAGTTCCTCTTTATCCTGGAAGCACCTCGTTTTTCCATCAATTTCCAGGGACAGTTGTGCAGGATATCTCAATCTTGGCTGTAGATTATTATCTTTCAAAGCTTGAATTATTTCTCCCCATGCTCTTCGTGATTTGATGGTTTGTGAAGAGAAATCTGCTGTAATTCTGATGGGTATTCCCTTGTAAGTGATCTGTTTCTTGTCTCTTACAGCTTTTAATATTCTGTTCTTGTATTGAATTTCTGGAATTTTTATTATTATATGCCTGGGTGTTTCTCTGTTAGGGTTGTAGGTAGCTGGGGTCCTGTATGCCTCATACATTTGAGTATCTTTACCTTTTGCTAAATTAGGAAAATTCTCCTGGATTATTTCTGTAAGTAGCTTTTGTAGTTCACTTGTTTGTGTCCCTACTTCTTCCTTTATGTTCTTAATCCTTAAGTTATGGCTCCTCTTATCATCTTCTTGTCTTTGTATTATTGCTGTGTGTTTCTTTGTTATTTTTAAGAAGTTTTTCATTTCATTCTCCCATGTTTCAAGTCTGCCCTCCAATTCAGATAGTCTGTCCTTAGTTTCTTTCAAGCTGTTATGCCAGTCTTGGGTAGACTTCTTAATTTCTTGATAGTCCCTTTGCACCTGCTTCACATACTCAATGCTTTCTCTGTTTTCTCCATCAAGCAATTCTCCCCTCTTTTTCTGTTCTTCCATTCCACCATCTGCTTTTTCCTGGGTGGTGCTTAGCATTTCTCTAACTATTCTGCATACTTCTAGCTTCAGGTCATTGATAACTTCATTCCTGAATTGGTCTATGAGGCTCTCTAAATGGCGCTTAATGTATAT